TTCCCTCTGCTTCTTTCAGAGTATTTGTTTCTTTTCGGTATCTTGTTTGAGTTCAAAAGTCTTCTGTTACAGAAAAAACTCTGTCTTCTGTCGTTACGCCTTGCAGATTTCTGCTATATAGAGGAAATAAACGGAGCGTCTCGTGACTACTGCGACGAGAACAACAGAGAATTCCCCTGCGCACCGGGCAAGGGCTACTTCGGTCGTGGTCCGATCCAGCTATCCTGGAACTACAACTACGGGGCCTGTGGAAGAGACTTGGGTCTGAACCTCTTGGCTCAGCCGGAGAGAGTGGCTCAGGACCCCACCATCGCCTTCAGGACGGCTCTGTGGTTCTGGATGAGGAGTGTCCGGCCCGTGCTGAACCAAGGGTTCGGCGCCACGATCCGAGCCATCAATGGCGCTATTGAGTGCAATGGAGGGAACCCTGGTGCGGTCCAAGCTAGGGTTAGGTACTACAGGGACTACTGTGGAAGGCTAGGTGTCGACCCTGGTCCTAATCTCACCTGCTGAAGATACACACACACACACACGAGAGATACACGTTTTATATACGTTAACATGTGAAATAATAAATAAAGTTATAAAGGAGTGTGGTCAATGATACAAAAAAGAGATTATAATAATGTATCAACAAATAAATGTATTGAGTTTGACGTATATTATACTGTGTCGGCATATTCCAACGAGTAAAAATTCTATCAATAAAAAGTTAAATTAAACCGCCCAAATTATCTTCACCGTTAATCCATTTTAATTGATACTCATGCCGAGAATAGAAGCATTGAAATCGTATAAACACTCGTGTTAGGATTTTTTTTTTCTAAAGATTTTTGTTATACAGAGGAAATAAACGGTGCACGCAAAGATCCTTAATGTATGAGTTGGACTTGGGATAATAATCCACGAATAAATATAGAGAATAGGACGTATATTATATAATCTAATTAGGATGTTTAGTGAGTTTATAATATTTGTGATAATTAGGTAACCTCTTATATTAACATTAATTCTCAATTGTACAAGGTGTATCATCCGATGCGCGCGACAATTGTGAGACAACCAACCCGAAACATAGGCAAGACCGGAAATGGGATGCGTAACCGATTTCTATTTTGCGACGATCAAAGTCTATCCAAAAAGATTAATATAAAAGAATTTTATCATATAAACACCTTTCTTCATGACTAAGTAATCAATCGTATGTGGTTTTAAAAAATATTATCAGAAAATAAACATCATTACTTCGGTTCTATTGAAGACTCCTACATATAAAAGTAGTATTAATTTTTAGGGATAATCCCATATTCCCCCATAAATTTTTGAAAAAGTTCCAATTTCATACACCAATTTTTAATTTGACAAAAAACTACCCCTGATTTTAAATATTTCCAAATTCCCACACAAAATCTTAAAATGTGTTTCAATTTTCCCCATATCCGTAAACGACGTTAAGTTCCGTCAATTTTAATGATGACGTGGCATGCCACGTCATACAGATTTCGCCAAATCAGCACATTTCGCCACATCATTAAGCCACGTCAGAAAATAAATTTAAAATAAATTAAAAATAAAAAATTTCTAATTTTTTTTAAAACTAATAAAATAAAATAAAAAATACATAGTTTCAAATTTTATTTTTTAAAAATAAAATAGAAAATTACATATACATATATATACACTTTTATATCTATACACAATTATATACATATACATATATACACATATACATCTACATACATAATTATATACATATATATATACACACTTATACATTTACATATATACACAATTTTTTAAAAAAAATTTAAAAAAAGTACAGAATTTTTTTTAAAAAATTATAAAATAAAATAAAAAATTTACATATACATATATACACAAATAATATATATATATATATTCACATATGTATATATACATATTCATATATATACATATATATCCATATATATACATTGAATATGTATATATATATGTGAATATGGATGTATATGTGTATAAATATATATATATATATACATACATATTCATATGTATATATACACATATATATACATTTATACATACATACATACATATATACATGTATGTATAAAGGAGAACACATATGTATATATGTATGTATGCATGTATGTATGTATAAATGTATATATATATGTATATATGTATATATATGTATATGAATATGTATGTATATATATATTTATACATATACACATACATATTCACATATATATATATGGTCAATGTATATATATGGATATATATGTATATATATGAATATGTATATATACATATGTGAATATATATATATATATATTATTTGTGTATATATGTATATATATGTATGTATGCATGTATGTATGTGTAAATGTATATATATATGTATATATGTATATATATGTATATGAATATGTATGTATATATATATATTTATATACATATACATATTCACATATGTATATATACATATTCACATGTATATGTATATATATGAATATGTATATATACATATGTGAATATGTATATATAATTGTGTATAGATATAAAAGTGTATATATATGTATATATAATTTTCTATTTTATTTTAAAAAACAAAATTTGAAATTCTATATTTTTATTTATTTTATTAATTTTTTAAAAAATTCTAGAATTTTTTTATTTTAAATTTATTTTTTATTTATTTTCCGACGTGGCTTGATGATGTGGCGAAATGTGCTGATTTGCCGAAATCTGTATGACGTGGCATGCCACGTCAGCATTAAAATTGACGGAACTTAACGTCGTTTGCGGATATGGGGAAATTGCAACACATTTTAAGATTTTGTGTGGGAATTTGGAAATATTTGAAATCCGGTGTAGTTTTTTGTCAAATTAAAAATTGGTGGAGAAAATTGGAACTTTTTCGAAAATTTGTGGGGGAATACGAGATTATCCCTAATTTTTATTATCTTATACAAAATAAGTTAAATAATTATAGTTAGTATTAATTACACTAGAATACGGATCCAATACCACTAACAGGCCCAAGTCGTCCACTCGGCTCCGGTGGGAGACTTTAGGTTTTACTGGCCTCTCGGAAATTGCTAACAAACATATTTTCCCATATACTATTGGATAAAGTTTAGTTCCCTTTATTATTTATTATTTACAATAAAATAAAGTTTAGTTCCCTTTGTTATTTAATAACTATGTAAACAGACTTGACCAATTTGGATAATAATAACCGATTTCAACCGAATAATAGATCAACGTAGCTAAATCGAATGAATTCTTTTAAATTGAAAAGTTTTACCCTATGAGAATAAAAAAATAATTGAAAATCGATTTTTTAAAATAAAAAATAACATTTTATCAATAATGAATATCCAACTGAATTCAATATAAAATCAAGATGTTATAATGTTTTTAAAACGAAATCACCAACCTCAACTACAACCTAATAGAACCAAACCGCAATACCGTATGTGAATGCATATCTAAAGACTATAGAGCTGACTTTTCCACGTCTTCTTCACGGTCCATAATCATCCCGAGAAGCATCTCCGTTATAAAAGCCTAACCCACTTCTCTCTCCCTCCTCATAACCTTCATTTAAAGAAAAAAATGGCGAACGTCAAAGCCACCGGGAAAGACATTTTTACCCTTTCCTTAGTCACCATCCTCCTCATGACCACCGTGTCCAAACCCGTAAATTCCCAGAACTGCGGTTGCCCTTCTGACCTCTGCTGCAGCAAGTGGGGTTACTGCGGTAACTCCGCTGATTACTGCGGCAGCGGCT